CACAATAAAGGGTTTTAATCATGGCAATGAACCCAGAGGAGAAACCAAAAGCCTTCAAACTATTACATAAATACTGGTGCTCCACTCGATCAAATGCCTTTTCTTGGTCGATAGAAATTAGACCAAAGTTTAAATCCAATAAATTAGAGAGGTCCAAATAATCTCGAATTAAAGTTATGTTGTCTCTTATTGATCTGCCAGGGATGCAATAGGACTGATCAATATGTACAACTTGATCCATCACTTTTCTCAATCTGCATGCCAGAACCTTTGAGAAGATCTTATAGTCTGTACACAAAAGACTGACCGGTCTCCAGTTCCTTATTTCATAAAGATCACCCTTCTTAGGAAGAAGAGTGAGCACAGCTCTTCGACAACTAAGGGGTAACATTCCCCTTGCCACGCTGTCATTGAGGACTTCCAAGAGATCTTCAGCCAGAACAGGCCAACACGACTTATAAAACTCCACAGGCAAGCCGTCTATTCCTGGAGCTTTGCCATTTTCCATGCTCAGCAGCGCCTCCTGCAGTTCATCCAACGTTATGGCATGCTCCAAAACAACATTGTCATTGTCTGACACCTTTGGCAAGTCTTTAAGAAATTCTTCTGTTATCACAGAGTTTTCTCTGTAATCACTGGCATATAATGTTGAGAAAAAGTCCACAGCTCTTTTCCGCAGGTCAGTAGGATCCGTCAATTCTTTCCCTTCTTCAGATCTTAAGCAATGGATGAAACGATTTTGTCCATTTTTTTTCTCCAAACTGAAGAAGAATTTTGAAGGAGCATCCATTTCAGAGATACTTTGAAAACGTGAACGTACCAGAGCTCCCTGTGCTCTGACCCCAAGCAGATCAGCCAAAGCAGCTTTTTTTTGTTTGAGCGCCTGAATATGGCCTCGATTTTCTGTGGACTCACAAAAAACCTGAAGTTCCACAATTTCAGTCTCTAATTTTTCAATAGATTTCACCATTTCTCTTGTGACATTGTGAGTGTATTGATTACAAAACTGCTGAATTTTAATTTTACCAATATCCCACCACTGCTGTACAGATGTAAATTGACATTTCATACGTCTCCACTGTTTCCAAAAATACAAAAATCCTTTTTTAAAACAACCATCATTTAACAAAACGGTGTTAAAATGCCAATATGCACTCTTAAGTTTAAAATTATTTATAAACACATTCCCTATGATCATACAATGATCAGAAAAACCCACTGGACACATAGTGCATGATCTAAATATTTGTGACTGATGTCCAAAACAATAAAATCTATCTAACCTTGCCAAAGTTATATAATTCTCTTTATAATGAGCCCAGGAATATTGCCTTATGTTTCCATTTTAAGACGCCATACATCAGCTAAATCATAAGTTTCAATAATACGTTTCAAAATTCTCCTTGAATGTAAATGTGGCTCCAAATGATTCCTATCTAAATCATCTATTGTACAATTAAAATCACCCCCTAAAATTAAATATTCTGTTGACCCACACTTTAAAAGTGTATTTGCCAACTCTTCTAAGAAACACAGCGTTCACTTGGATTCACAGGAGCATATACATTTAGTAAAATCAACTTTATATTTTCATATTTAACAATAACTTTTAACAATCTTCCAGATACAACATCTTCAATTTCAATAGACACTGGAAGAAAATTTCTTGAGAAAAGAATAGCTACTCCTGCACTTAGTGAAGTTTTATGACTCAGAACAAGATTTCCATCCCATTCTTTGTTCCAATCAACTTCATTATCAACGTTGCTATGAGTCTCTTGAGCAAAAGCTATGTCAACGCCTTTAGACTTTAAAAGTTCAAAATACACAGCCCTTTTTTTCACATCCCTTGCACCATTAAGGTTCAAAGATGATATTTTAAATCTACTCATAATCACATAGAAAAAGATCCAAAGAAACAAGAAAAAACAGCATCTAAACTGCTTTTTAATTTTCATATTACTTAATACGAGCTCTGACTTTTTGCACAAGTTTTCGAAGTCTATATACTTCAGTGTCCCTTAGCCCATCAGAAGTCCTTTGTCTCATTAACCATTTAACTGAGTCAACAAACAATTTTTTATTAGGAAAAAAATCATCTATGACCACATCCCGTTTCCCTTTTGTCACTTCCAAAAACCTTCTAATCTGTTCTAGACTGTAGCCATTAGTACTCTGGCCATCAGGAATAGAGGAATCAGAAGATTCTCTGTCACTATCAGAGTCACAAAAGGTCTCTGAATCACTTTCTTTCCCACTTTTTCAAACTGACTCTTTTTAGGTTTCACCCCTTTCGGTCCTTTAGATTTTCTTTTAGTGTTTGGCACTTTGAAAACACTTTCATCATCCCTAATCAGACTTCCTTCACTGTGAACTAAATCATCAAAATCCATTTCTTCTTGTAATCCTTCAGGTGTGGTCGTTTGACTCTCTTCAGTTCTTTCAACAGAACTAATGACATCCTCAATGTCACGTTCTGCAACATTTGACAGCTTTTGCTCTCCAGTTGAAACTCCTTCCTCATCATTAATTTCTTGAGCTCCTTCCCCACCGGCAGCTACCGGGTCTGCCTCCCCAGCATCAGCCTCCGGAGCTCCCTCCCCAACTGCGCCCACTGGAGCTCCATTCACCGTATCCGCTGGTGTCATCAGCTCTGGATTTTCGTTAACCTGAACAGTCTCCTTTTGAACCTTTTCAGGGCAGTTTCGGACTGAATGTCCCTCCTGATTACATCCAAAACATCTCATCGTTTCCGTTGTCGCAAAAATAGTATAATCAAAACCGTCAACCTTAAATTTCATCACTATGCTCAGTTCCTCAATATCATTTTTAAGAATCATAAACACTTGTCTTCTAAAAGACACAACATGTTTCAACTTCGGTGATTTGCAACCGGAAGGGAGCATTTTCATTGCTGACACGATCTGACCGTGACGTGACAATTCCTTCAGTAACACTTCGTCACTAATGAAAGGCGGCAAATTAGACAAGATGATCTTTTTTGCAGGGTTTATTAAAGGGAAAACAGTAGTTTGTGTATTTCTCAAAACAATTCCCCTCTCAACTACGCTGTTCACCTTTTCAATTGAGTCCAAAAATAAAACCACTGCATTGTTCATTCTGGACGCCGCTTTCACACTTTCACATCCGACAATTTCCCCAACAGCCAAACCACACTCCTCAACCGAGAAATCCACGCCAACCGGTATTTTAATACCGTGTCTTCGTGAAAGGCTCCTAAAGCCTGCAGAGCCATAACTTTTCCCGGCCATCGCACCAAGCTAAAAAGCTTGGTGCAGCCGAAAAAAAACTATCAAAAACACCAATAAAAACAGAATGTGTTAAAGTGCGAAAAAAAAGTGAAACACCACTGTGAAAAGTGAAAGTTTAAACCTTTGGAAAACCTCACACTCGTCCTCCTTCCACTCCACACATGCAGCAGCAGACGCTCACGCATGCGCACTCCAGAGAGAGAGAGAGAGAGAGAGAGAGAGATAGATAGATAGATAGATAGATATAGATAGATAGATAGATAGATAGATAGATAGATAGATAGATAGATAGATAGATAGATAGATAGATAGATAGATAGATAGATAGATAGATAGATAGATAGATAGATCTATGTCTCTCTTTCTCTCTCTCTTTCTACATATATATATATATACATCTACTATTGTGAAGATGAAACTGATTAAACTTAAAATATATTTTCTATTTTCTTTCTATTCCTTCATTCCAGTTTTCTCACTATTTTCTTTGAGCTTTAGCACCTTAGCGACTTGATTTACGTGCATCAAGGACGACCTGACCAGCCGTGTCAGTTTTTGCAATGATGAAAGATTGTATTTTGCTCTATTGTTCATCTCCTTTAACTGTTTTTATCCATCCTATATTTTTAGCTGGTAGCTTCACAGGTTTCACTGTTCTGATAGTTTTACCAGAACAGAAAGATTTTTGCATTCTACAAATGAAGTCTTATTATTAGACCAGCTACTGACATCATTCTGCAATTACATTTTGGGTGGAGGCCACTGATCCATCCAATCTACGATCTTATGTACTAACTTTTTAAGGATCTGTTTTGCGTTTTTTAATGAAAAACGCAAATTAGAAACAATTGCAAAAGGATTTTCAGATATTTTTTAAATTATGTTTCTGAGACCAAGAACCTTGAGCCATGAAAATTAAAATACACAATTAAACTGACCTGTTTTGAAGCATTAAATAGTCTATTAATATATTCTATGCTATAATCAAGTCCTAAATAATTGGCACATGTTCTACTGGCAGATTTAAATTTGAAATTATTTTATTTTGCCAAAGAAGATAGCATTCTCTTGAAACATAATAAACTAAGAATAATTACCATAAAAAAGATTAAGAGCATGCATATGTAATTGCAATACTTTTTTCTAATCCGTTTTTTAAACTATGTCTTTGAAAAGTTTCAAGCATCAGAAGCTAAGTCTACTAACAAAATCCCCGAGGTGCTTAAAGGTCATAGGTTAATATATATTCCACCTAATTATTGGCTGCTTCTTTTCTTCAAAAACACAAAAAACTTTCCTCCTCAAATACTTAGATGGTTTAATGCTACCAAAATATTTACAGTTTAATGGTTCTGTTCTTACAAACCTTTTCTGGCCATTTATCAGACACACTTTGTTTGAATGACGTTGGAAGTCATTAGTAGAGTACAAGACACTATTGCATAAAACCCTTCTAAAGGTTTTAGAGCTTTGAGACATGGTGCATTAAACTACTAGCAGAAGTCATTGGAAAACGGATACGCTGTATGGTAGACATGGTCAACAATAATTCTCATTATTGCCATTCAGATAAGGTTTAACTAATTCTATGGTTCCCCAAGAGTGCTAAAAAACCAAACTGAAACTGTGTGTTTGGATAAACTCTCTATTTATTCGTCTTGCATGCAATCATAATAATATGTTCAGGTAAACATGACATAATAATGTAAATATGGAAGAGCCTGGATCTCACGTAGCCATAACTTTGTCTCGCTGTGTAAGTTTTAGTATTTTTTTAATAGATAATCGAATTTCTTGTGTATATAAAACATAAACAACTGGGTTCAACATGGGTGGGAATACTGAGGTCAAAGACAGATTAATAATCCTGGCATTTGGATGTATCTCTGGACCAATGGTAAAAGTGATTAATATTGGGATGAAATAGATCGCCACTAATGAAAGATGACCTGTGCAGGTTTTTAGTGCCTTTGTTCTTTCTTTAACTGCAGCCACTTTAAATAAAGCAAAGGCAATGCAAATATAGCTGGATAAAATGAAAATCATGGGAAGCCAAAGAATAAAAATTGGCAAAAGAAAACTAATGACTATATTGGGAAAATTGTCATTGCATGCAAGCTCAAACATCAGGCCATGGTCGCAGAAATAGCTGTTAATAACAACAGACCTGCAGAAGGAAAGTCTAGTAAGAAGACCAACTGCAGTGAGGTCAGCTATTATTGCAAACAACCAGAAAGATGCAATCACAGAAAACATAATTTTATGAGTAACCTTTGCTTGATAGTGCAGAGGATACATGATGGCCATTAGTCGATCATAGCAGAGAGCAACCAGATTAAGAGCCTGCATCGAAAGGCAAGTGTAGCAGAAGAACAGGAACGTCATGCAGTCATTGTAGGAAACATAATAATGATTAAACAAAAAGATATCAAGAACCTTTGGTACCAGAGCACAACTACCTAAGAGGTCCACAAATGCAAGGTTAAAAACTGCAACATACTTTGGAGCTCTGAGGTTATAATCCAGACAGATTACAGTCATTACAGCCATGTTTGCAAGGACTGAGATTATAAATACAAAAAAGAGAAAGACGTAGTAATACTTCATATTAGGTAAGCCAATAAATCCACTTATTATAAAATAGGCAGGGTGCACAAAAGAGACATTCTTTCCAAAAGCAGAGTTAAAAGGCTCCATTGTAAGGATGTTGCTACACCTGATGTGCCCCAGTTCTGTCACAACAGGTAGCAGAGCAGACGCTGGCTCTCCTCTGCCATCTGCTGCAGAGCTCTGAGAGGCTTTAACTGTCCAGGCCTTGTTTTTCTGTTTGGTCCCTGGAGTGCAAACATATTCAAATACAATTTGTAGGCGTTTTGATGTTAGATTTGTTTTTAGGGAGTAAAAATATGTCTCCTAATACTTGAAGAAACGCATCTTTAGCAATTTCTTTCTGAAACATGTTTGACTGTAATCAATATAACATTACATTGGGGCCGGCTGGGATATGAGCCTACAGAGTGTTTTTCCAGTGGGTTGGTGGGTCAGTGGTTTAGTCTGGGAAAAAACTATGTCACACAAACTCTAATAATGCACCACAAATCAAGATCACTCAAACTGCACCAAATAAAATACTTTCTACTTTTCCTCCTTTCCAGTCACACAGATCTCACCAACATTTGGCTGCAGAGTGGACTTGTGAACACATGAGCAAGTACTATAGAGCCACTTCGCAGCTTTTCCTTACTAAGCGTCATAAATTGTTGTATGGAGTCCGAAGCAGGAAATGATTCAGAAATCTGCTATAAATTGTGGCGGACTTTTTTGTTTCTCTTTTGCTTTTCTTTTGTTTGTATTTCCTCTAACTTGTGTAAAAAAGCACTTTGAATTTCCTTGCTGCTATAAATGTGCTGTATAAATAAAATTACCCCACCTTACCTTATTTTCACTACTTTGAAATGATGATAATTAATTCGATAATAAAATTATGCATACAATTTTACAAATGTTTTGTAGTTATCAATATAGACCTAAGTGTTTTGTTTTTCGTATTTTAAGAATTTTTAAATTATTTTTCATTTGAAATTTCTTCAATTAATTTCATAAAAGTTTTGGCCATTTTAAAAGTTTGCTTTTAATCTTGATTAAAATAATAAATGTCGTGCTGTTTGTATTGTTGTGATAGTACTAGTATGGACCAAAGGAAGAAACACTGTTACAAGCCTTTAAGGTTGATTATGTAAAGATTTTGATGATAGATTTTAAAGATGTTGTGACAACAGGAGTCCTGGTGGTTGACATTTGTGATGGTGCCATCAGACATGATGAAAGGTCAAAGAACACTGATTATTTTTTTTTACTTCAAAACGTTTTTATTGTTATAATGTTCATATATTATTTACACAGCCCTTTACACTTTTGATCAGATGATCAAACACATTTTTTAAAAATAATTTGCTTAATCCACCTTTTTGCATTTACAGACTGTTGATCACATTGACTACTGAAGGCCAGCTACTGTAAAAAATAACCTCCCTAATAGATAATCTAATGTCATTTGTAGGCTCTCTCAGTATGACTGCAGACAAAAATTGTTTAATTATCCATCTTATACATTTAAGTCCTACATTCCCAAAATTTTATTGTAATATTTTTTTATTTCACAGTTAAGCATTGTGTATCTACTTAAAATGAAAAGAAAACCTGTTTGTGTTTGCTATGCTCACTGCTTTTATTCCAGTCACACAATTTGGCTGCTGGATAGACTTCAAATTTTCATCCAATTTTTTACTGCCTTGTTTTCTTTATGAGCTTCTTCAAAGCTTGTTTTATTTCCTGTGTCTGAAAAACATAAATGATGGGATTCAGCATCGGTGGAATTATAGTTGTCAGCGACAGGCTTATGATCCTGGCATTAGGATGCATTTTGCTTCCGATTCCAAAAACAAGAGTAATAGGGAGAAAATAAATGGTCACTAATGAAAGATGTCCTGTGCAAGTCTGAAAAGCCTTTCTTCGCTCCTGCACTGTTGAAATTTTTGACAAAGCATAAACAATACAGCAGTAAGTTGCTAGGATAAATGCTAGAGGCATCCAAAGCATGATGACTGGACAGAAAATACCAAGTACACGGCTGGGGGAAACATCATTACATCCAAGTCTGTACACAGGGCCATGGTCACAGAAGTAGCTGTTAATAACCACAGACCTACAGAATGACAATCTTGTGATGAAGCCAACAATAATGAGGATAAGAGTGATGTTAAAAATCCACAAAAAAGCAATCAAATTGATCATAAACCTTTGGGTCACTTTCACCTGGTACTGCAGAGGGTACATGATGGCCATCAGTCTATCATAAGACAGTGCAACCAGGTTAAAACATTGCATTGAAAGTAGTGTGAAGCCAAAAAACATGAAGGTCAAGCATTCATTGTATGAAATGTAGTGATGATTAAACAGGAATATGTCAATGACTTTTGGTAAAAAAGCTGTACTGCTTAAGATGTCAGTTAGAGCGAGACTGAAAACTGCAACATATTTCGGACCTTTCAGAGTATGATCCGCAATTATGAGAGTCAGCACAGTTCCATTTCCTACCACCGAAAGAACATAAACAAACAACAGAAAGACAAAGTAGAACTTCACATTAGGAATGCCAATGAAACCTGTTATAATAAAATATGCAGGACGGACAAAAGTGATGTTTTCCTCGAGAGCCGGATTAAAAAGTTCCATCTACTTGCTTCACTGTTCACAAGTCTTTTCTACTTCAACAAGCTTTGTTCAGAGGAGCGCAACCGAAATGGAAACAGTGCTTCTCTTCTCTGACTTATAAGAGTTGAGGTTTGTTCCCTTGAGTCAACTTTATAGGAGCTCAAAGTTTGGTTAGTGGGAGTGGAAATATTAAGAACCCAAGCACACACTCAGACTTGAAACTTTTAAAGATAAATATATCAGATTACTGATAGTGAGTGGATACTTGAAGAACTTTCATATCAAACACGTTAGACTGACCTCTCTCCCCAATCAGAGAAATTTAGTAAATGTATTAATTCTCATCTGTTTTAACTTAGAAAACATTAGGCATTATACATTTTTGCTAGATTATAGAATCAACTTCCTTCACATTTAAATTGATTTAGTCTGATGGATCTACAGCCTGCTTAGCAAGCACTCGTTTCAGATACTGGCACACCTTTGACCCCGTCCCTAAAATTACATCCCAATGTAAATCACAAAAGGCAGGTTGAGCCTTGAGATAATCTTCAGAAATCAAGCTCAGTTCAGAAATATTTTTTAACAGTTACAGAAAAAAATCAAAAGATTTTGACACGGTTGTTCAAATTATTTGAAGTAATTACTGTTAATTAATTTGCCAAGAAAATGAAAGTATGCATGATAATACTTTTATGTTAGAGCTAGAAAATGAAAATGAAATTGAAAATTGTACAGAATTGTCAATATCAATGTTTTTAGAGCAATAAAACACCATAAAAACATAGATGTAATGTTTTGTTAATGTTAATCCAACATGAAATACTGTAAATATGCCCAGTGAACAAAGACAATTTCATTATTTAGGTATTTTATTTTATACCTGCAGTTAAAGTAAATGAGATTTTCTGAAATTATAAATACAAAATATAAATAAATAAATATAAAAAAAAAAAAAATTCCCTTCTCACCCACCGCGGGTGGTTCTTATCCTCTGAGCTCGGGTCCTCTACCAGAGGCCTGGGAGCTTGAGGGTTCTGCGCAGTATCTTGCGCAGGACCCTTGCGCATATATATATATATATATTATATATATTATATATATATATATATATATATATATATATTATATATATATATATATATATATATATATATATATATTATATATATATATATATATATATATATATATATATATATATATATACAAAAAAAGAAAGACGTAGCAATACTTCATATGTAAGCCAATAAATCCACTTATTATAAAATAGGCAGGTTGGATAAATGTGTAATTTTTTATCAATAAAGGATTAAATGAATCCTTGTCAGATTCTTGTCATGCCTGTTGTTGCAAACCGAGTCCTATCTGTGCTGTAAGGAAACTGATAAGGCCGAGCAGATTTTCATGTCTGCTTTATGTTTGTCTCTGATCCCCAGATTGTTGCTTTTCCAAACACTGTATGAAAACTCTTGAGCAAAAGATTTGAGTTCATGTGTCTAAAACTGACTTCTGCAGTTTTAACTTGATCAATTTTAACTTGATCCACTTGACTTCTTTTCATTTCAAAACTACACAAAAAAGAGTGCAAGAGATGCTGTAACTTAGAAAACAACTGACATAAAAGCTGCAAGTCCTCAGAGAATATAAAAAAATCCTCAACCTGCTATGAAATGTTGCACTTTGTGGTGTCCTATAAAGTTGGATGGGAATTCCCAAGCAGATGAGAATGCATGATATTATCAACTGTTCCTCCTTTCTAATGTTTTTTCTTAAACAGGTGTATTGTAGGGAAGTCATGAAAGGTTGGAGTTTTTTCTCACAATATGAAGGTATTTATGTATGTTGTTATCAGATAAGGACAACCGTTTGCTCAACATAATGAGATAATTTCTCCCATTATCATAAGAAGACATTAATTGTTTTCTTGAGATAACAAGATGACTATTTATTCTTGAATGCTCATGAGAAAGAGATGGGCCAAAAAGCAAAGATCTCAATATACTCACATGTTTATGTTTAAAGCTTTACTTATTGAATGAGGTTGGGTTGGATATTGTTTCCCATTTTGTAGATTAAATCATCATTTGATAACAATTTCTTTGTATTTATTCAGGTTGTCTTTGTCTGGTATCATATTTCATGATCAAAAACAGAAGAAATCTGTAAGGAAGCAAATAGTTTTTCTGTATGCTTGACTTTGTGATGGTTTCTCACGTAAAATCCTGAGAAAATACAATGAAGGAAAATAAAATGTGGAAAAGTTTCAAGGATAAGACACATTGCAACGCACTATGAATAAGTTTCTTCCTGCAAAGTTGCTGTAACTCCATAGTTGAAATGTTCTTTAGTCCCTGGATGAAACTCAGCCTGTGGAGAGGGTTAATGAGTTGTTTTGTTGTTGTTGCTTCTGCAGGGTGATGACACATCCTGAGGTAAACACAGTTTCCCTAACTGCACATGAAAGCCAAGGGAGAGAAGGGCTCACATTATGTAACTTAGCCAACAACAATTACTGTATTGCCCTGTGAAACAAGTAACTTTATTCCCTGAATATTTGCTGTTTGTGTGCCGTTAAAATGAAAGTCTAAGAAGAAGAATGTCAAAATCTCAAACTTTAGAGGATAAAAATGACAAACTTTGGTTTAAATATCCTCAGCATGCTCAGGTTTGAACACGACCGCAAATAATAAAGCAGTTTATGCCCTTCCTCACCTAACTCCCTGTTTCATTCATTTAATAAGAGAAAAGCATCTTATCTTATTTGATCTTGTCTCTGAGACTGGAAAATGCGTTTAATGGTCTGAAAAGCTAGACGTCAAAGCTACAGCTTCTCTTGTGCCTATAACAATTTCCAAACTGATCTCAATTGACTATTAGAGCTTCCAAGGTCAATCTGGTGCATCATGCAGAAATGTGCTATAATGCTATTGTTGCTTAATGAATTAATTGTTTGATGAAATTCCTTCATCGGGTACAAAATAAATGTTTTTCTTGTTCAAAACCTCTCCTTCTGTCTCCTGTTTAGTCCGGTTGAAATCCAATTTACAGGCATTATTCTTGACTGTTTAGTAAAATTTAGGTGGAAAAATATTTCTCTAATGTTATAATATTAAATTATTTGGTGAGATTTGAAAATAATGTTCAAACTATGCTTGGAGTATAGAAAAAAAAAAAAAAAATATATATATATATATATATATATATATATATATATATATATATGTATATATATATATATATATATGTATATATATATATATATATATATATATATATATATATATATATATATATATATATATATATATATATATATATATATATATATATATATATATATATATATATATATATATATATATATATATATATATATATATATATATATATATATATATATATATATATATATATATATATATATATATATCCTAACATTAATTTCCCATTCAGGACTTGAATAAATCTGAAATGAATCTATTGAAGGAGAAAACGTTTTCATCAGCAGCTCAGCTCATGCTGAACGACTAATCTTTTTTATTATTATTTAAGTTCTACTCATGTCAGTGCTGTAAGAAAGAGGTCATTTTCAATGTTTTTATTTGTTCAGTCACTCCAAACCAAGTCATCCCATCATTCTCAACCTGTGGATGCACCAACAAGCAGCTTTTGACTTTTCAAAAAGACGAAAAAAGTATTTGTTTCATAGAATCAGGCAAGAATCAGAGTGAGCTCTTTCTTTAACCTTTCTGTTGTTGATGTTCTGTGCAGGTTTTGCATAAAAACTCAGAGAAAAACTGCTAGTTATTTATTTTGTTGTTATTGTCTTTATAGTTAAAACCATTTCTTCTCCGGTTTTATGAAGGCCCAGTGGCTGAAGAGCCAAAGGCGGCCCTGTGAAATTGCATGTGGCCCAGTTTGCTGTGTCAAAAACCATGTCAGAGCTTATAAATCATGGCTCCTGAAGTCAAGCTGGTGTCACATCCACAGGGATTTTCTATTAGATTATTATTGAAAATTAATATAATTCCCTCTCCCGGTACAGGATGAGTATTTATCCCACAGGACATTCACTTCAAGGAATAAAGGAGAAGGACAAATTATTTTAACAAAGAAACATAAGAATGTGGAAATCAAGATGCAGTCTTGGTTATCCACCAAATTTAATGTGCTTTTGTTATTTTTCTGTAATTTAATTGTTTAATTAGATTTAAAAATATTTATCAACTGTGACTTTATGAAAATTTCCAAACACAAATTAGGTTAGCTTCATATCCGTCTGTCATGCTAAAGCCCAGAAAAAAATTGTTTTGTTAAAGAAAATTGTTTACCATTTCATTTCAGTATTATTATTAAATGGCACATTTTTTGTGAGATAATCTGTTTGCAAGTAGCTCAAATACTGTCTGACATTTTGAACAATCTGGATTATTAGAGATGTTCTGGAAAAAGACAGAAATTTTTTGATTGGACTTTCCAACTTTGTGGAGTCAAAGAAAGAGAGTCATTCGAGGTAACTTGTTGTTACTTTGCATGATCACTTATTTGAATTTTCCTCATCAGTGACACTTTTTTCGTTGCACCATAATGGAACAGTAACTTCACATTTGACCTCAGGAGAATGCTGATGTTTTTTTCCTCTTCCCACAAGCCTATTTCTTTCTCAAAGGACTGGAGTCTTACTTAAACTTGTTATGATAAACTTACTAATTGATCCTTGGAGGATATGAGTTGACATCTGCTACCTCCTTCCTGTTCTGAGATGAAAAACAGAAACCCATCCATCCTTTGTCTATACCTGATCGACCTTATGGGTTTGCATGGGGAGCTTTCCTCACATTGTCAATAATTGCATCTTTGGTCTTTGATTAGACCCAGCAGGCTGAGTTGGTTTTTAAACCAACAAATGCGCAAAAGTGTATTAAATAGTTGATGTCTGTAATCAAGAATTAGATCACAAATTGGTAAATAAATGGTATTGTGATGAAAATGGTTTAGTTTCTTATTGAGTTTTGAAACAAAAAAAACCATATGAAGAAAAAAATGATGTCTAATCAGACATTATTAAGAAACTTTAATGTGAACCAATTCAGCTTAGCAAATAAAAGGCAAATTATATATTCAGTCCAGTCAAAACACCAACAATCCCTTAATACCAGGGAATATTTTCACGATGATCCTGGGGCTGCACAGTGGCGCAGTTGGTAGCACTGCAAGAAGGTCCTGGGTTCGATTCCCGGCCCGCCGTCTTTCTGCATGTAGTTTGAATGTTCTCTGGGTACTCCGACTTCCTCCCACAGTCCAAAAACATGACTGTCAGGTTAATTGCTCTCTCTAAATTCTCCGTAGGTGTGAGTGGGTGTGTGCATGGTTGTTTGTCGTGTCTGTCTTCTCCAGATCAACTTCAAAGCCTCAATTCAGGCCTGAATTGCACAATTAAAGTACTCCCAGATCAGGAGGAAGATGTACAATTGTTTAATTTTGTTGTATTTATCTAGTTTTTGAGGCCATAGTCAGTGTTATACAATATTATTTTACTATCGAACCAATTTCTATTTCAAACTGTGGCAGAAGTTCAATGAGGTCTGAGCAGTATAGTTATCCTACATCACTCAAAATGGCAATCTGCCAAGAATGATAAAACTTCTTCCAGTTTATTCTATGAAACCAAGATTTGTGGCCCACTTTTTGGCTAAATGATTGTCCCATTAAAAGCCTAGGAAGCCACTCGATGACAATGTGTGCATGTACTTCTTTGGCTTTTTTTAGTCAATCAACTGCAGCCCTTATGTGTTAATGTTTAACACATTTTTAGCATTTCTTAAAAATATTGAATAATTATACAGGTTCTTTTGGTCAAACACATTATGTATCTTAAAAATCAGAAAAATATCTCTTAAGCACAATTTCTGCAAGAATTATTAAAATAGCGGACATGAGCTCAGTTTCTACCAGTTTGTTTATGTCACTTAAAGAATTAAAAATCTCTGTGAAAGAGTTTATGAAGGCCAAAGATTTTTTTTTTTGTTTCAGTCAGAACCTGGCAGATTAGATGGCCTCTGAAATGTTCTACCCATACTTGAGTCTGCTGAAAGTGTAGCATCTTAAAGTAGTTTCTAGGACTAAGTTGTCATTCAAAGTTTTCCTAGATAACTCCCGTCCATTCATCCAATAGTTACGTCCGTTTACCCTCACAGGGCCGCAGGGGGCCTGGTGTCTATCTCCTCCTAGACAACTTGAACGCGCTAATTATATTTTCTCTTCTGAGACAAAGTTGCATCGACACATTTCCTTTGCTGGAACATCGTAAATAAAACTCTGAGTCTTCTGGTTCTGCCCACCACACTGTTAAAACAATCACAGGGTGAGGTCTGCTCACATTTCCTGGATGTTATTCAGTTGAATACTAGTGTTGCTGTCAGACTGACAGTTTTCTCTCCCCACTCCGCTTGCAGCATGGCTCAAGTAGAAGAGAACTATACTGAAGTGTCAACGTTTATTATTGTGGGCTTTCCAGGTCTCCAGCTGGAGTATTTCCACATGATGGCGTGGTTTTTGTTCATCCTCTATGTGACCACAGTGGTGGGAAACCTGGTGTTAGTGGTGATATTTGCTCTGGAGCACAGTCTCCAGAAGCCCATGTACATCATCATGGTCAGCCTGGCTCTCTCAGACATTGGTGAATGTTGTATATTTTATATCAAACTGTATTTTGCATCTGAAATGGTTCTGATGTATGTTGTTGTTTTTCTTTAGGCTTTACCACAGTGGCTTTACCAAAACTTATTGCTCGCTATTGGTGGAATGATGCGAGTATTGGCTTTTACACATGCCATTTCCAAAGACACATGATCCACTATTTTGGGAGTCTGAACTCCCTGATTATGCTGACCATGGCTGTGGATCGGTATCTGGCCGTCATTTTTCCTCTCAGGTGGTAAAAAAACATCTGTACATTTTCCTACAAGAAAACTTTAATCATGTATATATATATTTTTCAGATATCCCATGCTGATGTCGGCCCCAACTATGACAATCCTGACAGTTTTCTCCTGGTTAGTGGCACACGTCTTCCCTAGTACTACCTCCTATGTCCTTACCCAGATATCTTTTTGTAGATCAGACCAAATCATACAGGCCTTTTGTGACACCATATCCCTTACTGCTCTGGCATGTGGGGATAAAAGTTATATTTCCAGTGCTTCATACATCTCTGCAATGTTTATTCTTCTTGTTCCTTTGGGCTTTGTGATATACTCCTACTTTTGCATCATAATCTCAGTCTTTCACATGACCAGCGGACAGGTGAGCTGCACCTTTTTGTAGTTTTTATTCTTGTTTCAGGATGACCTAACTGTGATTTGCTGCTCTCCACAGGGCAGAAGGAAGACCTTATCAACGTGTGCCACCCAGGGCTGCATCATTTCAATCTACTACGTACCACGGTTCTTCGTCTACTCCTCATCAAAGATTCCTAACATAAACATGACCCCGGGCAGCCAAATAGCCACAACCTTTTTCTACAGCTTCTTCCCTCCAGTCATAAACCCGTTTGTGTACTGTCTGAGAACCAAGGAGATCCAGGCAATATTGAGCCGCTGGGTTCAGAGATTACAGGTTTTTCAGCGCAAGTCCAACAAAACGGCCACTGTTCCCAAAGTAACATGAAAAAACTTTTATTTATTTAATGTATTTAGTGTATCTTTCCGTAATAATATATGGTTATTGTTGCCATCTTGGTTCCCCAGCATTCTATCACTTGTATCTAGAAAAGACGTTTCTTTGCTCATAATTTTTCAATTTTACAATTTTGAAAGGTGAATTCAAAGCTCAATAATCCACCCCGATTAAATGTTATCAAATAGATTGAAAAGCATTTATTTCTAATTTTAATTTCTCAAAAGTGGTTACGCTAATTGAATTTGGATGTTTAATTGTTTATATTTGAGTAAATTTATTATCCATCAATTATTCTGTCTGGATTTTCTCTTTTTTTTACTGAGACATTGTGTGTTTGGATGAAGCATGGACAGGAATATGCTTAGAAGTATGTTTAAAAAAATATCTGAAGGCATCTACAAGTACAGAAATAAATGTTTTGTGAAATTTGCACACATTGCAACGAGTCTGGTAAAATACCCATCCAATTTACAAAAAGCATATTGCAAAATCAGATTCATAAAATGTTTATTTTACCTCAGAAAAGACAAGCTTCGATGTACAAGTGCAGTTTAAAACCTTAAGCGTTTAAGGTTTCAAAGATGGTGTTAAGCCAGAAGATGGCAGCATCGTCAAACTGTTTAATCTGCAAATAAAACATAAGTGAGGTTTGTAGGATCTTAGAATGGGTATAAAGATGAACTGGTGTCTTTATTATGTGTGAGCATACTACATTATTCTTGGATAGAGACATTCTCCCAGTCTGAGTGACATGTCAGGACCAAAAGGCTTTCTTTATTTAACAATGTTGACATTGAGAACCCAGCAATGACATCAGCTGGTTTTAAAGGGTTTTTTCACAAAGCTCTTCCTTGGAGTTGCGGTTTCCACACCGAAGTTCCACCTCAGCCTCACATGCACGGCTCCTCCAGACTAGCAGCAGCACCAGTTAGCATGCACTTGCTGGAACTATGTGTCTACTGATCTCATCATACCTAGTCTTTCTCAGTCCAATGCTCCCAAGAAGGGTTATTAACGGGATAATGGAGAAACGTTTTCATGATGACATGTTAAAGGCAGAGTGTTGGAAAGAGCGGGAGCTTCTTAAAGATACAGATGCACAATTTACAAAGTGAAATTTATTTTAAATCATGTTTGATACACACTGGGTTTTTTAATTAAAACTAAAGGCAAAAGAGTCACTTGATTGTGCTATAAAATTACACTTGTATCTAGAAAATACATAATACCGCCCCTTTAACACAAACATGATCTTGACTGCTGTGTTTCTGTTACTCAAACTATATCCCAGTTTTCTCCAGTGAAGAGAGAATAGCGTCTTTCACATCTGGCACCTACTACAGCTTTGTGGACTCAGGAGGAGAGAGGGATGAGAGGAGGAAGGGAAAAGTCTACACAGGACATACAGTCATCACCTGTGAATGAATTAACCTTTGAAAGCTGCTCTCATTCTGTTTTGATACGTCAAAGATTTATTTATGGGAGCTTTGACTTTCATTTAAAACAACCCACACAGCAATGGAACCTTGTTTGTTCCCTGTGTCATTAACTTAGTACATGAGGCATTAAATGTTTGCAGAAAAGCCTGAGAGGAAGGCAGGCTGAGCTGGACCCTGTGTTCAACATAGCTCTGCTTGCTGAACCTTGACCTGCTCACTGCTGTCTAACCTGGATACACAACCTTACAGCAACACATCTGACTGATGCAACCAACATTATCTTTTTCTTGCAGTTGTACAAGATGAATTTACAGAAAAATGGGTGACGGAGTCAGTGCTCTCTTCCTCAAAAGCCTGCTGCTCATTGTCCCGTAATGGATTGGTCATAAAATGTTGTGTTCACATGACAAAGTTCAAACTTCGTCATGCCTAATGGAGATTCCAGGAATGTCAGTTCTCAAATAACTCTATAATGCACGACTGGGAATGTTACTCAAGTGTAGCATTGAAATTTTGTCAATTCATTCAACATCAAAAAGAAATGTAGAGAACAAACATTCTTTTTCTAGCATTTACAGTTTCACTACAACAAAACAAACACTTAGAAATTACTAAGTTTCAGCATCATATTTTTTGGTTTCAGCAAAAGAAAGTAACATTTTTAATAGCATTTTTATTTCTCAAAGAAGTTGCATAATGGAGTTTTGTACTATTTCCATATTCTTTCTAGCAGTCAAGCAAACAATCGCTTCTCACAGTGAATATGAATAATTTCCACAAGCAGAGGCACAAATACTTGGATGTAAATCAGGTTTCAAATCAACAGGTTTGCTGATAACAAAACACTTCCAGTTATTTTTTTATCCAAACTCATTTAATATTTTTACATAAACACGCTAATAAAATAGCAAAAGCAAAAACTGAGAATAACACATTTCCCTTTGAGGGCCTAACTAAAATATTTACACACTCGGTGGTTGATCAAAGCATCCTCTCTTGTAAATGCTGATTCTTGCAGGAGTTAATAATCTCAATGCAGACGATGTCTCTGGATTGTTTCATGGTCTTATCTGCAGTCTTCAATGTTTAAGTAGGTTAACTGTAAAGTCAAGGACAAAAGAAGCAGCAGTTTTTTCTTTTAGAATAATCTATTTAGGATTTTGATATGTCAAGAACTGCAACTTTGCAACAAAAGTTTAAAGTTTCTTCCTCTCACAGCCTTGTGACCAAGTTTGATTATTAGATAGAGGCAGTAGATTTATTTTATCTATTTCAGAAAATTATTTATTCCTTTTCTCATATTCTCCAGAACTAGAAGTTTTCAAAATACACATTTGTAAAATGTTTATTTGCAAACTTTAGTTTATTTTAGTGAGAACAAAGAAAATATCTCCTTACTTCCTCACCAAAATGACATCTGTTGTCATTATACAGATGTGTTTTCACAGTTGAACAGGGCACTCCCAACTGCAGTCTTTCTGCGTTTCCTGCATTCATTCATGATTATTTATCTAATTTTATAGCAGTTCTAAAGGTTTCCTTCCTGATTTGCGTCAGACTGACTTCTGCTGCTTATATGTCTTATTTGTCAGATGCATTACAAACTGATAAATCAGCTATAAGAGCTGAGTTATGGGTTTCCCATGTCTGGGATTTTAGAAACCCAGACACGGGAATGATGTTTCGTTACATTATTGAAATATTGAACACTGAGGAAGTATGATTGTTTTGCTTGATGTAGGAGAGCAATCAATTTAGCACCTGAACTGCAGGGAGACTTTGATATCTTTTTTCAGTGATGTCCGTCATCCAGTTTATCTCAGTTTCCATGGTAAACAGCTGTTTCACTGGACAATGGCAGAACGATTCAGTTTTTCTCGTGTTACTCATATAACTTGTTTTTTTTAGCGTTACTATTTCTGGAGATTGTGTTACCGGAGTTTTGGTTTTTGCGTCATCATCTAAAGTAAAAGTCCAAATATCATGTATATAAAAAAGACATTTCCACAGATGTCAGGAGTTAAAAGCAAAATCGGTAAGAAAAAACGAACAAACAACAAAAGGAACAATTGGGTGGATGGATGAGAAATGAAAGAAAGAATAAAGTCAGAAAATACAAATATTGTTTTAGACTACTTATCCAGATGTAAAATGAAATTTCAACAACTTTAATTCTTTTCCAGAATGAGAGGGACACCTGCGTATAACTAAGAGTTAATGGGCTGTGAAGAACGACAGAACGAAGTGCACTTCAATAACCTTTATTTAGTTTACAGATGTATTTTGAAGATTTGGAGGGGTGGGGAGAGGGAGCATTAGTGCTATTTACAACTGGTTTCAAAACATTTTTTCTCTGTACAGATTTGAACCCTGATCAATATAAACAATATTTTTAAGACCTAGTGCTGTTACAAAGCAATTCTTCAAAGCAAAAAGAAAAAAAAATTGGATTACATTAAATTACAAACAAATGAAAAAAGAGAAGAAAAGAGAATAAAAACCCATCAGTCCATGAACAATTAGGGAGGATTTGCTGCTGTTAAACACAAAGACATCGTCAGTGAGTGACTGTGAACTGGCTAGAAGCTAACCATACACACAATCATCGACTAAACACTAATATAATGGATATCACCAAGATCTAAAATCTCCATGTTCTAGATAAAGATTCATATTAAATATATTCAACAAGTGTTAACCTCAGTTTGGAACATTACTTCCATTGGAAACATAACATAAAACCCATTTCATACATTTGCTTTAATCTGATGAAAGAGCACATGCTTCTGTTGTGCAAAATAGACTCATTAATGCTGAAGGAGAGGTAAGAAGAGAGAAGTAAGACAAGGAGAGAGCATTTCCAAACTTAAGGTGACGTCTCAGAGATCCTTCACAACACTGATAGCAAAGTGATGAGATCAGGATGTCACAGGAGAAGGAGAAAAATTCACGTAATGCTTTAATAAATTACCAGTTTGATTGGTCAGTAATACTCATGGACTGCTAGAACCCAGTCTCCAAAGATGATGGACCGCCAACACTGGTTGGTTGTATACTTGTTTCTATCTGGCTAAAAACAGGATTATTTCTGCACAGCTTTGTTATTTCTGTCCTGCAACCTTTAAGGGCACAAATAGAGGAGGGCAGTTAAAAAGGACACAGATGTGTTCAGAGGGAGTGAGTCCTAGTTCGAGTTTTCTGATCAGGCACGTTTTACGCTTCCTGTGCTGCACTGAGGTGCTTTCAGACAAACACATAAGGTTTTACACCCAGCGTCACATTGAGGCTCTGATGAGCTTAGTAGTTAAAACTCTCAGCCGGTCTACATGAGAAAACAAGGCCACACACACAAACTTGGCCGCTGTGTTGCAACGAGAAGAAGCCGGAGCGAAGCTTCGGCCAGAAGTCGACTCCGCTGACCAGCTAAAGATGGCGATTAGGGGTGTGACAGTGTATGGCAGAAGGTTTAGGAAAGAAGCAAAGAGAAAGAAAAAAACACATGCAAATCCGGTTCCTTCTTCTACTTTTCAGTTAAAAACAACAAATCAA